AACGACCTTTATTGCAAACGATCTATCATCGTTTGAACAGATAGCAAGGCGTCTGAAACATTTGTGATATCTCAGCGACCAAATATTATCAACCAGGCTGACTTATGCGTATCTTGCCATTTAATGTTCTGATACTGTACATGCATTAACAAAATAGTCCATTCTTTGTTGTTTTCCGAGTTTTGAAATATTTCGAAAATTTTCGATATCTAGATAAGATTTATTCAAAATATAATTATGGTGGCATTAAGCATTTATTCAATATGATGATTATAAATGATAAAACACTTCAAAGAAAAGTAACTACCGTTGACACTATTTTTCCTAAATGTGCGGAAAAACATGGAGTTCCAAATGATAGGCCAGCCATTTAGAACTAAAACATTAAAGTAGAAATGAATTAAACATCGAATTCATGCAGGGGACGATATGGGTCGATAAATTATTCGAGAGCAGGAGAAATTTGTTTTTTTTTTCACCAGGGAAAAACTCATTTTGGCGGGTAAATCCCGAATGAGCTATTATAGTACAAAAACGCATGTCAAAAACGGTTACTACTGGTTGACGTGACCTGGAGATCCTGTCCTTTCATTAAGTAGACAGCTAGAATTAGCGTTATCCATCTGTTCGAGAAGGATGACTTATCATATGGGTTTAAAATAGACATAAATGTAAGGTTTGGGTTAAATGTCAGGATTCCAAAAGACTGCTAGACATAAAAGTTGCTTCGCAGCATAGTTTTTATGTTCACTAAATATTTGAATACACAAAAATAAAAATAATGAAACCCTCTGTATGTCGGATAATTATTTACAAGTGTTTCTGAAGAATAAAAACGAATTATTAGATTAACGCTGCCAAATATCAAGTTACAGATTCTACAGTATGCCTCCTATAATGATTTAATATAATAATAATGATGTTTTTGAACCCAGCAACACACACACCTCTGAGCTGTTTACAAACATTGTCTTATACTTCAAAGATTAATTAAAAACAAATATAAAAATGATAAATTCTAAAAGAGGCATATATTGCTCAAAATATGCTTTAAATAAAGGACACTCGATGCGCTGATAAAATCATATGATAAAATTGGTGCTGAAGTTTCAAAACTCCTGTGTCCATGTTTAATGTCTTTTTTTTTTTTTTTTTTTTTTTTTTTTTTTTTTTTGTATCTTTAGTTGAATTTGTCCACTGAACCCGAGTGTTATAATGGGACAAGTAGGTTTTATAATATTGCTCAGGTAAAATGGACTTCCCTTTAAAAATTTCAAAACCCACGAATAATATTTTGTAAACGATCCTTTTAGATATGGGTATGCGGGTAACCAATGTAGAACTGGTTGAATGTACTCAGACTTGCAGCTTAATTACAAATTGACTGAAGTTTTTTTTAAAGTTAGTTATGTCGAAGATACGTGTAGAACGTGAGCACGAGGTTAGAACGATATTAACGCCAAGGATAATGCGGGCTGTAGCATTTTACTTCCAGGGGATTAAAACCAAACATGATTAAATGATTAAAGGACTGTCCTTTATTTTCTCACTGATATCCAAATAGATCGACAACTAAATAAATAAATAAATAAAGTTACCCAGAAGAGAAATATAATGGATCATAAAGACGAGCTTTTTCTTTTATTTTAGTCGTACGTCTTCGGTCCGAGAATTTCGCCAGTTATACTTGGGGTCTCAATCCTAATGGCGACGCATACATCAAGCAAGGGTTTAGCGGAAATATCTTCTACATTGTTCCTGGGTTAACCGGACAACCAGGTACAGTGTCCTTCAACTCCGTGGACTACCCGTGCTCCTATCTCCGGCACTATGGTTATTTCCTTAACCTCGAAAGTTCAAAGAACCCGAGGAATCCTCACATCTTCGACAAGGACGCCACGTTCTACCCTCGACCTGACAAATTCTTCCAAGGATATACAGCATACGAGTCGGTAAACTACCCTGGGTACTTCATCCGCCATGCTGGCTACAGGCTGCAGATACGGGCAGACGACGGCTCTCACGTGTTTAAGAGGGACGCCAGATTCAAGGAAGAGCCAACAGGTACATAAGATAACTTTATTTACAACAAACATAAACGTAAATGGCATCTTGTTCTTTTGTCCAGTTGGTTTAATAAGTGATCACGAGCCGCTTTCTGCTCGTAAAACTAAAAATTTAGGTGATAAGAGGATTTTAGACTGGGTTCCCATACTTAGATCGATCCATCTGGATCGACCTAACTCCCTGGGGGTTCACGCTAAATTGCTATCAACTCAAGGGGCTCAAACGTCTGTCACGCCTACCAAATCAGCTAGGGGTAAAGATAATTACCCCCTAACAGTTTTACTAGGCGTGACAGACGTTAAAGCCGGTCAGTTTGAAAGCAATTTACTGAGACTCCCCAGGGAGATATATCGATCCAAATATCTGTGGGAATGGTCCCTTAGACACCGCGCCTATCTCACTCTTCATTAATGCTTGCTGCTTACATAAAAATACAAAAATATATTTTACCATTTAAGATCTGCTGGAAGGTTGTCACAGTTAACGTCTCACCACAACAAGATCAGAGACGTTACAGAAATACGAGATGTTTGATCTACCTCAAAATAAAGCTGCACACTCAGTGAAATCTCTCATGGAAAACACTGGGTATACAGTAGTATAATTTTTTAAAATCATTTTTGGTCATTCGGTCGCCACATTCAAGAACAGTTTGATAAGAGTCAAGAACATTATATTTTACACATGTATCTACCTCAATCAACACTCAGGTAATTTTAATTCATACGTCACTTTACTGCCTCTCTCAGGTATTTATAGGCCTATGTACGGGAATCTGCACTTCATCGTTCATATGGGTGCCAATTTTACTTATTGAGTATCTGCAACTTACCACTAGCTGTATTGTCTTATTTTCATTCTGATAAAAAAATAAAAGTATATATAAACTGCGGACATCATGTTCAAGTTGTAACCTGGTCAGTGCAGTAATTAAAAAAAAAAAAAAAACCTTTGTTTGAAACATTATCCACGGCTTTCTTGTTTTAACAGATCTGTTTGGGGTAAGAATAAATTTAAATTTTGTTTAAAAGTTTAATCCAATGTTCAGGCTAAATGAAGAGCTCATTATCAGTATAACCCCAATTCCCTGCAGTAGCCTTTGGACAAACAAACTCATCTTTTGTGCAATTTTTGTGAAATGTAATTTCAATATCTGAACTATAATCAAAATTGTCTGATGAAATTGTCTTAAATAACTTTGTCTCACATTTGGAAATACGATAATTACTCATCTTTTCAAAGGGGAGGGGAAAGGAATTTTTCAAATACTGTATTTTTAAATCATTATTTCTTAAAATTAGAACATTCTTATTGAGTGGTAGCAAAAAAATAAAAAGTACTCTACAGTTCTATACTATCCAGTAAAAGTCCCACAAATGCTAAACAGAAATATCAGAAACTTTGATAATTTTTGCACATTGAAAAGATGGCGCAATTACCGTAGTGTTTCCCAGATGGTAATAGCAGAAAAAATGAAAGAAAGAGGAACTCTGTGAAAATTCAGTGCCTCATTATTATTATATAATTTTCAGGATGCATGATATTAGTTAACTAACACAGTAACTACCTGGCAGTTATCACTCTATTCAACCAACTAGTTTAAGCATTACAAAAAAAAAAAAAAAAAAAAAAAAAAAAAAAAAAAAAAAAAAAAAACTACAAATATCTGGAAATAGTGATTAAAAAGTTTTCAAATGAAAAACTGGTTTCTGCATTTATGAATAGGTGAAATGATAAATCAAGGAAAATAAGATAAAGAAATAGATACTGACTTATGATTAAACATAGTACTTATAAATGGTAAACAATAATATGTGCAAACCTCAAACCCACACTCTATACAGAATATAATAATAATACCTTCTTGTTCCCCACATTTATCTTAAATATATACATAACAAATAAATTTATGTTTCAACAAGAATCACATTTTTACAATCATGATGACTTGATCATCTACATGATCACTGACTGAACAGATCAATACATATGGCACAATTGGTTTCTTAGAGAGCATTAAGAACAGCAGACTAACAGATCTGAGGATCAAATATGGTGACCCACTAAAAAGCTTGCCACTTAATTCCCTGATTAGATACTAAACAGATTTCCCACGGGGATTATGCAACAAACATTCAAGTGGGTCGGCCATATTTGATCCGTGGATCTGTTAGTCTGCTGTTCTAAATCATCAAATTTTAAATGGTTTTGTGCTGCCTACTGCACCAGCTAACAAACACAGTGATCCATATTTCAAAACTCGGGGGGGAAAAAAAGACCTCTGCCATGGCAGCTTAATTTTCATAATTAGTCAATTAAACAATAAACAAATCAACACCATAATCTAATCGTTTTTAAACTAGACCACTTCTTTATCAAAATCTATCCATAACTTTTTAAGTTAGGCTGTCAAGGATGAAAACATCACCTACTTGGTGGGGGTAATGATATTGTGCATCAGAAGTATGGCCACAAATAAAAGAAAAACAACAAGACTTTGACACCAACCACAAGCATGCTAATAACTAAACATTACATACAGTGATAATTATAAAGTACCAATATAACCATTTGCCTTATTATACTACAGTGTATTCATCATATATACTTCTCCATCTATTATTCTGCAATAATATACATATATTGGACCCAGTTTAAGATGGCAATTTCAACAAATACTTTGCATAAATATTGCCAGAATGTAGAATGTTTTTTCTTTGCAGTCTCTTTGATTATTGATCCTTTTCTTTCTGACAAATAAAACTCAAAGGATGTTTCCCTCATGTCAAACAACAGCTGTTGATATATTACTGAGATTGCTTGGTACACTGCTTTGCCTTTTGTACGGTGGCCTATAGGAACCTCACTTATAGCAGCCTAAGGTTCCTATGGGCCATCGTACTTTTGCACTCTCTGTAAGCAAATGTAAAATATACCCAATAATGCAGATTCTATTTAAATATGAAACAAAATCATTCAGCTATAAAATTATTTTACAAAATAAATAAATAAATAAAAAAATAATATCTATACCATACTACAAAAAATGTGTTTGGTCTAATTAACAACTTATATGTTGAACAATATTTAAATCACATTTCTTACTTTGGATAAAAGATTATCAATTTGATAATGCCTTCTGGAAATATTTCATTGTAAGCATAATACACGTTACCCGAAATTACTTATCAAAAAATTAAATTGAGGCAGAGTGCCAGACTATAAAAGAACAATGATATGCTGAGATGGAAAGTATTTTTATACTTAAAAGTAAGATGTACCCATTTCCTTAAAAAATGGTAAATAAGATTTTGAATTTCATGATAAAGTTATGATCACAGTCCCCTCTCTCACCATTATCAAAATATTTTCAGCTTTCCCGCCATAATACCAAGCAGAATAAATAGATCTATTCTAAAATTGAGAAACCTGAGGTAAAAACTAAGACCAAGACCCTCTTTCATACATAATTTGTGTCCATAATTCTTATTCCTAAGGGAAAACATCTACAATCCAGGCTTGGCAAATTGACGAACCAAATGTCCGCGTCCTCGTGTTATCCTTTTCCCGATGGTTTCAACATGGAATCCAATATCATGGAGGGCGCGATGATCAAGGATGAGACGGCCATCAAAGATGAAGGCAGGCTTTAACATCTGGTTGTACATGCGCTGGTAGTCGAGGTCCTACAGAGAAAAACAAGAGAAATAAGTGAAGACATTTTCAATGCCATCTGAAGCAAAGATGATAATAACTTAGCACAAGCTGACTATTTTTTATACTGTTAGCTTGCAGCCAATCTGGACAAGAAATGATTGCTTCCCTTTGTTTTGGTGGGAAAATCTGTCATAGATTGCCTTCAAGTAGTAAAATATAACAACTGCCTGAGGTTGCAGTTTCACACCAAGACCTTTCACAGGATGGACTGGTCACCTCATTTAGTGACATACTACTAGTAATAGGCACCAGTGTCTGGTCCCAGATGTGTCACAGGTAGGTGAATTCCATCACATAAGTTCTAAAATCTGATTTACATATATTCTGGATTCTACTTCTACTACATGACTAAGAACATTCACCTATTTCTGACCATCATTTCAAAGTAATGGAGTCCAACAGAAATGAAACAAAAACTGACCTTGAAGAGGTCCCATTCTGTACATATGACCACAGCATGGGCGCCCACTGCGGCTTTATATGGGTCATCTTCTATGGTGACCAGTTCACCAACTAAAACAAAATGATTCAGAATAAAAATAAAAAAACTATGGCTGCTACATTAATTTGCTAAACCTTTATTATTTTTTAAAATCTGTTTTAATTCATCATTAGCCAAAAAGTAGCTCATTCTTTTATAGTCTCAAATGTTTTTTCTACAACTGCTGAATTTGGTCACAAAAATTATTAATTTTTTTTCTTTGAGCCACTGATGAATGAATACTATAATATCTCAATGTGACGGAGTGACCCACAAATAATTCCAAATCATAGTCCCACACAAATAACTGCATCTTTAAAAAATCCATCTGATAACAAAGAGCTCCAAATAATGACAGGACTTTATTCCAATTCTTTTAACATCTTCACTCCTACTAATCAGTTTATTTAATCCTATTCTATACTGTGCATTAAAAAGTTAACCTAATATTAATTGAATTCAATGAGTTTCAGGACAACCAAATAATATCAATGACTTCACAAAAATGACATCAAAATGCATGATATCTTTCTAAATGTAAAAAGAGTTTCATTGGATCTTAGTTTTGATGGTCAGAAAGGTTTCATTTATGACAGATCCAGATATTTGATTTACCTGTTGACTGAATTACCTGCTCAGAGTGAACAGATGAAAGTCAGCAGGTAAATCAAACATTTGGATTTATCATACATGACAACTTTCTGACTATGAATGCTATCTTGTGTACCTCTGTCTGGGTCCTCCGAAATAGCAGGATGCAGCAGCTCACTGAAATATTGCAGAACATTACACTGATTATAACAACCATATACTGCATTTTTAGACAATTAGGGGTGGGCAAGTGTTCCAAAAATACTTAATAAACAATTTTTCAAGTAAGAACGCACACAATCCAACCAATTCAAATATACACAAATGCACATTTAAACACAAGAACAAGAATTCATTTGACTATGTGACAAAAAAATAAAAAAAATTTGATTTACTTATAAAAAATCACGTCAATGCACTGGACTGTACCACCACAATGTATGCACACGTACCATCTTTGTTAAATATTTCAATATTTTTTTTAAGAAATGTGACAAATTCCCACAACCACTGACACGCATAAACACACCTCTATATGCCTGCTCTACAGTAAGAACACTCATCATGCACATCACAGTCATCTGTGTGCATACACACACACACATACACATGCACACACACACACACACTTTCGTACAATCACCCAGTCACTGTCCGCTACCTGAATATCTGAGCCTTCTCTACCTGTGGGTCGTAGATGGTCAAACAGGCGCCCTCGTCCATCAGGTATTTACACAGGTAGATACTGGCTGACTCCCTGAAGAACAAGAGAATGAGCTCCATTATGTAAAATATACCATACTGCTCCGATAGTTAATTCCTTCTATTGCATTCTCCATTTTATGCAAAATCATCATTATGTCTAATTTTTATCATTGAGTTCCTTATGGTTTATAAAATATAACTGAAAATGTTAAATATTTAAAAAAATGGATAAGAAGCATCATTGTCTTGACAACAAATTATTAACTTTATACCAAGGTTTATTATGAAATTTGTTTTTAAGCCAAATATATAAATGACATTAAAAAAATATAAATATAAAATATACAATGCTTTAAGAAACTTTCCCATGTTTTTTTCTATTGCATATGGTACCTAGTGTCTCCTGTGTCTTTCTTGAATGCAAACCCAAGGATAGCTATCTTCTTATTGTGAACAGTGTTAAATAAGGCTTCAACAATACGGTTGGCAAAACGGCGTCTTTGGTAATCATTTATGTCAATTATCTGGAATGAAAACCCAAATGTATACATGAATATGAAAGTGAAAGCATCCATCAATTTTTACAATGTTAGATGTAAAAATACCAACAAATTAAACCTTAAGTTTATCATTCTTCCATGTTACCACTGAGAATGCATATGGACTATCTGCTGGTGGGTGGTTCACATTTCTTGAACACGTGTGTGTGTGTGTGTGTGTGTGTGTGTGTAGGTGCATGCATGTCTGTGCGCATTCTTGCGAGCATGCACATAACATACCTGCTGCCAGTAGGCCGCCACCTCAGGCAGGTTGAGACACTCGCTTAAATACACCAAGTTGAGGACATCTTTCTGAAAACAGCTCCCTCCAAACCCTGAAACAAGTACAGTACATCTCATGACTGGGCAACAGCCAAAACATATAGCTGATTATTTTATGGTAAGAGGTAAAATAAGGCTTGGGTTGAAGATAACTGAAATGCATAATTAACAAAATGCGAAATACTTCAGTTACTTGAAAAAAGTACACCGAATCAATGTTCAACCAACCCTGAGGATCACAATTTTTGGAAAAGAACAGATAGAATATTATTGACTGATGGCAGATTTCAGATACTTAATAATACCACAGCAGTAAAGAGTTGGAAAACAGAAATTTGTTTTCTTGCCAGTCGTATAAAATGCTTTTTTTAATTAATCTTTTCTGAAAAACTTAACTTTATTTCTAAAAGTTGTGACACTTACCAACATTCACCTTGAGGAACTTTCAAATTGGTTCCTTGGTAAAAAAAATAATAATTCAATTCTTAACTGTCTTTCAAAAAGTCGTGACACTTACCAACACTGGCTTTAAGGAACTTAGGGCCTATCCTGCTGTCAGTCCCTATGGCGTGTGACACCTGGTCAACATCTGCCCCTGTTGCCTCACAGATGGCTGACATCGCGTTGATGCTTGAAATTCTCTGGGCAAGAAATGCATTGGCAGCCTGAAAAGTAATATCACCAAACACAATGATTTATGTTAGACAAGACTGAAAGACTTGACTATAAAGTATGATAATCTTTATACTTCCCCTGTGAGTGTTCATTCTTAGGAATATATCATTTATCCACTGCATGACACCATGTCTGTATATACAGTCCCATAACTCTGTGAGTCTTATATGGGTAATGTAAAATTAATACAAAACAGAGCGTGATGCTGCATAAATGTCAGTTCAATAGCAGAATTGCCAATAAGGCTGGAATTGTCATTAAAATTCACCATTCCTGATTGTGATGGAATATAGTGATTGACAACTATATGCTACGACATTCTTTGCATTTTCCCATTCAATTTCATTCAATCATATCAAACAAATGTAACAATTCTCACAGACAGTACATTTTTATTTTTAAAAAAAATAAGAAATAATAACAATTTACCAGTTTGGAGAGCTCAGATGACCAGGTGTTCATGGTGATAATATGGCTGTCAGAGACCCAGTGTTTGTATATGGAGGCCAGTTTCTCCACCGCTGCCTGGCCGTCTATGGACTCCTCTCCACCAATCAAAACTCTGTCTGGATTCAACAGGTCCTGAATGGCTGTCCCTTCTGCAAGGAACTCTGGGTTTGAAAGGATCTAAAAACCAATGAAAACGGCCTAAATATGGTTTAATAATAATAATAGTATCTACACAAATTGAGTCCATCTAAATATGGTATAATAGTAGCACCTAAAATCAAAACCACCAAAATTATCCCTTTTTTATTTATCATAATAATAATAATACTTGACCAGCACTTTAAATAGGGCTAAGTTTCTCACCTGAAAGTTTATATTTGTTTTCAGATTTGCTTTCAGAATATTATTGATACTCTCTGCTGCTCTGACAGGCACTGTACTCTTCTCAACCACAATCTTAGAGTTTGGTGCCACATCTGCAATCCTTCTGGCTGCTGATTCAATGTACTTCAGGTCTGCTGCTCTACCCTGTCAAAAAAAGCAGAATTTTTTTTTTTTAATTTGGACAATTTTGTTTGAAATTTTCTGAAATATACTTCACACTTTATGCTCTACCCTGTTAAAAAATACAGAAATTTTACAATTGTAAAAGATTGTTTGAAATATACTTATTATTATGATCATCATTCTAAACACCCTTACCTTTCCCAGCCCGTACATTTTAGTTGGTGTGTTGACAGAGATAAAGATAAGCTCTGCCTCCTTGATCCCCCTGTCTATATCTGTGGTGAAGAAAAGATTTCTGCCACGACATTCCTTCACTATCTCCATCAAACCAGGCTAGAAGAGAAACACTATTTTTTATCTTTTTATTCATATTAACACTTTTTATTCATAGAAAACTTACTTGACAACACAGAATGTTACTGACATGTATTCTTGTCATCTTGGAATTGTGGTGCTCACATCTTAAAATGCGGCGAGGGAAAAATATTAACAATTACAACTGTAACAAATGATGACAATGACATCGTCACTGACAACAACAAACACTCAAATTAAATGTAACCAGTTTTTGTGTCTTTTTCTACAAAATCTCAAACTCAGAGCTATGTCAATGGTGAAAGTAGCTATATCTAAAGCAGACTATCAACTATGGCTACTAGTATATTTAAAGCACTGGACTATCAGATGTTAGCCGTTTACACTCTTAGCTGTCAATATCATATACCTTCCTTCCAAAAATAAGACATATTTCTGTTATATATTTATATTAAATGAAAAATTCAAGAAAAGCAGCTGCAATTTGCATGAATTATCTAAAGCTTAGTTGTAAGGAAAGGTTTTATGGCTGCTACGGAGATGAAAACTAGCATTATGGGATGGGTCATTTCTTCTTGCAGCATTCTGGAAACTTGCATGCAGTCAACAGAAGTGGCCACTGTCCTGAAATCTGGTCCTCTGTAGAAAAACTTTACCTCAAATATGGGCAGATGCTCGGAGTTCCACTGGGCGATTCTGTCCTTGCTCAGGTCCACGACTGTGACCATTATTTCTGGACATTTGTAAGCGATGACACTACAAGTAGGACCGCCAACATAACCAGCCCCAATACAGCATATGTTCTTTATGGACATGGTGTCTAACCTGAAAAAATATACAGGTATTAAAACATAATCATCATCACCTATGTTGTAAATATGGTGAAAAACTCTTGTACATGGCTGAAGTTGTAACCAGATGTCTTTAAATGTACATTTCATATTCCCTCAGTACTTATATAATTCATACAGGAAGGATCCCAGATGGGCAGAGATATGGAGAACATCCCCCTCACTTCCTGATCAGACTTACATTGGGGTCAGTTTTCACCAGATAGTAAAGATAAATCACTGGCAAAAGAAAATAAAACAATTTCATTAATTTCATTATTTTTTTCAAATTATTTATCGAGTTGGTGAAAAGTAACTTTTTGACTTAAGAGAATATTAAAACTTCATCCTGGCATAATACTTATTGGATAAATATCTTTTATAAATTAAAGACTACCAAAAGGAGTAATATAATATAATATAATATAATATAATATAATATAATATAATATAATAT